AGCATCTTCTTAGCTTGGGATGCTTCGGCTGGTCATGCATGAAGGAGTGTAATCACAACATTTAGTGAATGATGTTTTAGCTGTATCTCACAGAATTGTTGGATGTTCTAAACACACTACTTTAGCCTACCATCATCCGAATGATATACAAGACAAGTTGGTACAGAATAAACCAACAGAGTGGAACTCAACCCTTTATATCTTGCAGTCAGTGTACAAGCAAAAAATGGCATGGCTGAAAATTCAACTGAATATGATGCTATCAATGTGTTAACTTCTCATCAATTTGAGTTGACCAGAAAAATAATTGCAGTACTAGAACCTGTAGAGGAAATATCAAAAATGATATCTACTGATACAACAGTAGCATCTGTGCTAATACCTTTGTTGAGAAGTCTAGAAAAAAGCATTGAATAAGCATGATAATAACTCAGAAGTCCATACAGTGAAGTGAGATGATAAGTGCAATGAAATGGAGACTTAGTGAAGTTAAAGAATGAGGGGAATTGGTTGTTTCCACAACATTGAATCCTGACAAGTTTTGTTTTCTGAACATGATACCAAAGCTTTAGTCAAAAGATTTCTGATAGAAATGTGTTTAGAATCTGTTTGTTTGTTTTTGAATCTCGCACAAAGCTACACGAGGGCTATCTGCACTAACTGTCCCTAATTTAGCAGTGTAAGACTAGAGGTAAGGCAGCTAGTCATCACCACCTACCACCAACTCTTGGGCAACTTTTTACCAACGAATAGCGGGATTCACAGACACATTATAACGCCCCTACGGTTGAAAGGGCGAGCATGTTTGGTGGGATGGGGATTCGAACCAGCAACCCTCAGATTGCGAGTCGAGCACCTTACCCATCTGGCCATGCCGGGCCTTTAGAATCTGTACAGGACAGAGATGTTGAGCCACCTAAAAAGAAGCAACATACTGGTGATACTGGATCTAAATCTACTTGCAAAGTATGGAAATGCTTAGCATAAATTTTTGAAGACTCAAAGAGAATCTACAGATACTAGGGAAGGAAATGAATAAATGGTAAACAACTACTTGTGGGAACTCTTAATTAGCTAAGAAGTGGTAACCCCTATACGTGGTGGAACAGTAACAAGCTACAATATCCTATCTTAGCTAAGATAGCTAGATATTACCTTAGTGCATCACCTAAAAGTGTTTCATTGGAGAAATACTTTACTGGAGCTGGTAATGTTATGATGATCATTGAAACTGACTTTATGCTGAGATTGCTGAAACGTTACTATTTATTAAATACAACTTACCTGTTGTAGGTTTTAAGTATTAAACTTGTGTACATATAACGTGTGTATGTGTGCTTGGCAGTTGCGTAGCAAGGATTCTCAGCACCCCGGGGCAAAGACACTTTTGGCGCCCCCACCTCTGAAATGTTTTATGACTCATTACCCACTTAATGACAATAACATAAAGAATTAATTACCACCTTACACAGGCCTAAAATAAAGTCACGATCTCAAAACTGTAACAAAGAGTAATATTTCAAGCATGCAGAATAAATTTCTGTTATATCCCTAGTTTTGAAATTTGTTT